ATGAGCGAGGAATCAATTGAAGCAGTGTGTGCTGATCTGCAGCCTCCATTTGAACATTCTCTCCTCCATTTTAATTAGCAGCAGTGACTGTGTTTCAGGTTCTTTAATCCCAATCTTCTTTGTCGCCCCCCCCAAGCGTGAGTGTATCTCCATCCACGTCGGTCAGGCTGGTGTCCAGATTGGCAATGCCTGCTGGGAGCTTTACTGCCTGGAGCACGGGATACAGCCGGACGGTCAGATGCCCAGCGACAAAGCCATCGGAGGAGGAGACGATTCATTCAACACCTTCTTCAGCGAGACCGGAGCTGGAAAACACGTCCCCAGGGCGGTGTTCGTCGACCTGGAGCCCACTGTCATCGGTACACTCTCATTAAAGGGACACCTCAGCCACAAAATGATTATTTGTTTATCAATTATTCAGCTTGTGTTGCCTCGAATTCATAAAGAAAACATTGTTTTTCTCGCATGCCTGCATGGTGAACGAAGAATCCAAAAACAGCAGAGATTCTTGAATCTCAATCTCTGAATCATTTAAGTAAAGGAGACCACGTTTAAGACCACCTGTTTACAAACTCTCAGTCTCTCATTTGTCCAGTCGTATGCCCAGTACTTCCCAAACACATGCATTTTTACTAAATACCCATTGTTTAAAACACTTCTACATGCACATAGCATGCGCAAACAAGCACATAGGTGTAGATTTTGAGGGCAATACAGGGAGCATGTCCCCTTCACTCTTTATTGAATGTAGCAGAGGGCTTTATTTTGCCAAAATTAAAGACATTTACACCATAAATTGATGCAGAAAAGGCACAAATTGGTGCATTAAAATTCACCAGAATGCAGGAAATCAGCTGTGTGATACTCAAAATTTTCTGGAGGCACCCAAACCTACTCATTTTATATGTGTCCCCACCTATGTTGAAACAAAGCCTACGCCCTTTGACAAGAGCATGCATTTGAACTCTGCTTGTGGATTCCATTGAGTGTCATTCAAGTGTGCCTGCATGCTACTCGTCCATGTCTGAGATTGTTTTCGCAGAAGTGTTTTGAATCGTTTTTCTTGCACGCCTCCACGGTGAACGAAGGATCCAAAAACGGAGAAAATTCTTGATGAATTGAAGTAAAGGGGGTCAACTTTTAACAACAGCAACATTTTATTAAAACATCCATTCACAAACTCTCACACAACTTGTGCAGTATAATCGAAGTTTTATTTATCCAGTCGTATACTCAGTACTTCCCAAATTTGTGCTTTTTTTGCTAAAACCTTATGATTCAAAACACTCAGACATGAATGAGCAGCACGCAGGCATGTTTCAACAAAGCTCAATGGAATCCACAAGTTCAAATGCATGCTCTTCTCAAAAGGCTAGGCTTCATTTCAGCATAGGTGGGGACACATAAAATGGAGGATTTGGGGTACTCCGTCAGAAGATTTTGAGCCTCAAACACTTAAGGTCCAGCATTCTGGTATTTTTAATGCACCAATTTGTGGGGCAAATGCGTATGTTTTAAAGAGTGAAGTGCTTGTCCGTGCGTGCTACTTGTATGCAGAAGTTTTAAACAATAGGGGTTTGTAACAACTGGTGAACCAGAGGCCTTTACTACGAAGAAGGATTTAGAGTTAGCGAGGTAACTTCAGGGTTAACTCTGGGTTTTTTAGTGCTACAAGGCTGGTTTTCAATTTACCAGGATAAATCATGTCATTAATATGATATGAAGGAGCCTACTTCATTCATGGTTCCAATGATGTCGCTTGTAATCAACACCCCCGACTCTTTCACATGAACGTGCTTGTGGCTGGATTGGAAAACCCAGAGTTGACTGAACTAGTTGATAACCAGCTTTGTGGTACCGGTTACCCAGACGGCCAATGTTAGGGTTAGTCAAGCCAGATAACGAGGAGATATTCTGGGTAAGTTGAACTGGCTTCATGGTACAGACCTCAGGTGAGAGTGGACTCTAACGCACGGCTCTGGAGACAGTTCAGGTAAAATAACAGAGTCTTCATGTGTCAAAAGGTACATTCAGTACACAGAGGAACTATCAGTGGAGGCAAACAACTCCAACAGGGATGAGGCAGAGTCAACAGGCTAAATCCAAAAAATACAAGAAAAGGACACCAGGAAACAAAAGGCGGGAACACTAGACACACAAGGAGCTAAGACGAACTGGCACTGAGAGAAAACAGGACGCACACTAAATACTCTGGTGAGGGGAAGGATAAAGAGACACAGGTGAAGTCATCAGAAGGGCGGGAAACACACAGGCACAGGAAGTGAAGTGATCTGAAACCAGAGATGTGAGTTTCAAAGTAAAACAGGAAACAACATGAATGAATGAAATAAAAACAACAACTTAAGAAACTTGAGCTGTGACAGGATTTAGTGAAAATGCATGTGTTTGGGAAGTACTGAGGATAGGTTCAGTGAGACTTGGATTATACTGGATGAGTTGATTGAGAGTTTTTGAATAGATCTTTTGATGTAGTTTTGATTAATCTTCTTTAAATTCATTGCTGTTTTTGGATTCTTCGTTCACCGTGGAGGCATGTGAGTTTTCTTCACAAATTCAAGGTAACACACGGTGAGTAATAGATAACCAAATGGTAATTTCGTGGGTTATATATTCCTTTAAATAAAGACATCATAGTTGTGTCCTGATTTAATTTAGTCAAACCCTCATTTGAATAGTTTCTAATTGAATCCGTCTCCTCAGATGAGGTGCGCACTGGGACCTACCGCCAGCTGTTCCACCCTGAGCAGCTGATCACTGGCAAGGAGGATGCTGCCAACAACTACGCCCGTGGACACTACACCATCGGCAAAGAGATCATCGACCTGGTGCTGGACAGGATCCGCAAACTGGTGGGTATCTTGATCTTCCTAATGTTGATTCAAAATATAAATCATCATGTGTTATCTCACATATTTGCCTCTCCGTCCTCAGGCTGACCAGTGCACTGGTCTTCAGGGCTTCCTGGTTTTCCACAGCTTCGGAGGTGGCACCGGCTCTGGTTTCACCTCCCTGCTGATGGAGCGTCTGTCCGTGGACTACGGCAAGAAGTCCAAGCTGGAGTTCTCCATCTACCCAGCTCCCCAGGTGTCCACCGCTGTGGTGGAGCCCTACAATTCCATCCTGACCACCCACACCACCCTGGAGCACTCTGACTGTGCCTTCATGGTAGATAACGAGGCCATCTACGATATCTGCCGCAGGAACCTCGATATCGAGCGTCCCACTTACACCAACCTGAACAGGCTTATTTGTCAGATTGTGTCCTCCATCACTGCTTCCCTTCGTTTCGATGGCGCCCTCAATGTTGATCTGACAGAGTTCCAGACCAACTTGGTGCCATATCCCCGTATCCACTTCCCTCTGGCCACCTATGCCCCTGTCATCTCTGCTGAGAAGGCTTACCATGAGCAGCTCTCAGTGTCAGAAATCACCAACGCCTGCTTCGAGCCCGCCAATCAGATGGTAAAATGTGACCCTCGCCACGGCAAATACATGGCTTGTTGCCTTTTGTATCGTGGTGATGTGGTGCCCAAAGATGTCAATGCTGCCATCGCCACCATTAAAACCAAGCGCTCCATCCAGTTTGTGGACTGGTGCCCCACTGGTTTCAAGGTTGGCATCAACTACCAGCCACCCACTGTAGTTCCTGGTGGAGACCTGGCCAAGGTCCAGAGGGCTGTGTGCATGCTGAGCAACACCACTGCTATTGCAGAGGCCTGGGCTCGGCTGGACCACAATTTTGATCTGATGTACGCTAAGCGTGCCTTTGTTCACTGGTATGTTGGTGAGGGTATGGAGGAGGGAGAGTTCTCTGAGGCCAGAGAGGACATGGCAGCTCTGGAGAAGGATTATGAGGAGGTTGGAGTCGACTCCATCGAGGGTGAGGGAGAGGAGGAGGGAGAGGAATATTAAAAGGGACGTTAAAGCACAAGTAACACAAGAAACAAATGCTTTCATTTGTTCCGAAACAAAACCCAAACAGAAATGTTTGAGTATTCATAACCAGCTTTTTCAGAGTAAAAGTCATTACAATGCCTGTTTGGCTCTGTCCTAAATAAAACTCCTGTAACGTCAAGTTGTTTGTGTGTTATTTATTGAACCTTGCTTCTATGACTCGGGCATATTGTTTTCAGGTGGTCAATACAATTTTTGTCATTCTTGGGAACTCGATTTCTCAAGGATGCCCTGAGGGAATTTCTTCCAATTTGGCTCAAAAGTCCACTTGAACTTTTGGTGGTCGGTCTGTTTGGTGGTAACATTTTGGTGGTCAAAGGTCAAATGTGACCTCAGAAGAAGCAATAACTCAAGAATTAATTCTCTTATTGTGACAAATATACGCACAAAGGTCTAATAGGATACAAAATGAGGTGATGACATTATATACTACTCAAACAAATGAAGGGAACACTTAAATCACTTCAGATCTCAATGAACAAATAATTCAAGTTGAAACTCTTTACTGATGTACACTGGGTAATTTGTTGAGAACAAAATGACGAAACAGTCAGTGGAAACCAAAATCATCAACCCACTGAGGGCTGGTTTCAAAATCACACTGAAAATCAAAGTAAAGAATTGAAATCACAGGTTGATCCAACTCATAATGTAACTCAGTAGTGTGTACGGCCCCCACATGCCTGAATGCACTCCCGGCAACATGTGGGCATACTCTTGGTGCGTGAGCTGATGGTGTCCTGGGGGATCTCCTCCCAGACCTGGATCAAGGCGTCAGTGAGCTCCTGGACGGTCTGTGGTGGTACTTGGCAGCGTCAGATGCACCGTGACATAACGTCAAATAGATGCTTAGTTAGATTTCGGTCAGGGGAATGAGAGCCAATCAATGGTATCGTGGTGGTGTATGGTGTGTGCCAGCAACTGTGTTAATTATTGAAATTCACTGAACTCGCAGAGACGTTACAACTTAGAAACAACAGGGCTGTAATAAAGAAGAGAAATGACTGGCACAACTGACTCAGAGCTCTTTTCCAACAGATATTTTTATTCTGAAACACGGCAGAAAAATCTACATATATCCAAAATATTTCTCGCCATCTTTAGTATCAAAACTCACACCCTCTATATCTTGTATCCCTCACTGACCACATGATTATGATATTTAATTATGCCTGTTATGACAGACTTGCTGCGACTAGTTTTGAGAACAGAGCATAGTGAAGTCTGACAGGCTAAATCACTTTACTCAAATCATTATTTTTTAAATAAAGTACCAGAATATAATAAGTATTATGTTGTAGGTAAGCTAGCAACAAACACCAGGAAGCCATTACAACGGCTCTGAGCAAGTGCAAACGTCGACATAAAGTGCAAACCACAGGAACAAAATTAATACTCATGATCCATGCTATGTACCCTCATCATTGTGAGAACTTTGTAGTGACATGTGGGGGAGGTTTTTACGTTGTACAGCATGGGTTAACACATGATCGTTTGGCTCATGACCTTACGCTGACAATCTGATGGATGAACAAGCTGTCTAAGGGCCGCATGATCCCTGTGAATATCTAAAACTTACCTACACAGTAGGGTTTGACAATTAATGTCAGTAATGTAAAATATCTGCATTGGCCCTCAGCTTTATCAGTGCTGAACTTCTACACAGACCAGTCTTAGCCAAGCACCCAGGTGACAGCAGTAGTGTTGGGTCAGTCTCAGCAAATATCGAAAAAGTGCATCAGAGCTTATAAAAGAAAACGTTCACTCTTAAAACAGAATTACTCGTAGCCATTGGTACGTTGCATTTTTTGGCCAGTTTAGCTGTTTCGTGCTGACGAACAACAAACTCATTTAAGGAGAAATTAACTATAGAAAACCCAGAGATATTAAAGTTTTTCCTCCACCAACAGTAGCATTCATTATCTATGATGTAATGCACCCGCAAGACCTGTTGCAATGTGCATAAAGGGGCACTCGTCGCACTTTGAGTAGAGATGCTGAGTTTGTGCAGACACATGGTGTGAAAAGCATGTCAGGAATTTCAACAGCATTGACAGCACTACTTTAGGGGTGAATTACACCATTTGATAATTCATAATAACTGCTGGGACACACTGACAGTCACAGATGACATATAACAGTGTGTGGCGTTTGTCTTAATAGTTATTAGATTTAAAGGCCAAGACTATAAATATTACAAAGATGTCTCACAGTTTTAAATGTCAGTTCTAACTCCCGGTCTACACACATCAAAGACTCTTAATCTGTGTGTCTGGATGAGTGATAGTGGATCTACGCAGACAGAATGCAGGCCTGACGCTGCTCCCTCCCGTACAGGAGGAAGCCCACAGCGGTACGCAGGTCCTCCAGGTCCAGGTTGGACAGGAAGCTCCTCTGAAGCTCCACCTCCACCATGTTCCCACTGGGTCCGCTGCAGCCCTTCAGGAGAACCACAGCAGACTGGCACAGCAGCCAATCAGCCAGCTTCTTCATGCCAACGCTGTCCTGGTTGGCCAGGGCCTTCCGTCCCCAGAGGCTGAGATGTAGCATGTTAGCGGCCACACGGGCACTGGGGCGCTGCAGAGTGAAAATCACATGTATGAGTTACTATAAGATGAAACTGTTAGGATTACTACGTTTCAAAATCATGCTTAGATTATGTGATTTGAAGAATTTTCCAGGACCTGTAGACACCCTGTACAATCCATACCCATCACTGACTGGACACACAGTATCTAACATATTCCTTCTGTACCTTGTTGGGGTTCCTCCTGAGAAGTAGTCGGATCACGAGCTGCACGTCAGCGGGAACACTGGAGGGCAGTGGAGGAAGCTGCTTCTCCTGGTAGCTCCTGCTCTCCAGTCCCAGCGGTCGATAGAACGGGTTACGCTGACCGAATATCTCATAGGAGATGGCGCCCACAGCCCAGGCGTCCGCCTTGCTGTAGTCAATCACCACACCGCACCCTGGGACTGCAGTGGATACCTGTGGGCAAACACATCATGGAAATGATAGTGAGTCAATGTATGGTTATTAAAAAAACTGACAATGTAGTTAACTGGCCGAGGCTACCATACATGGGGCCACCTGCTACTCAGTAACCATTTACCATGTTATCACAAGCAATTTGGGGTTCATGGACTTGCCCATGGACTGGAGGAGCCAGGGATTGAACCACTGATCCTCTGATGAGTGGACACCTGCTGCTATTTAACTCAGCGCTACAGGTCTGTCTTCATGAGCCACTCTTCTCCTGCTGTCTCTGCCTGGTTAGCACGAGCTAACTCAGCACAACAGGATCTCAACCTACTCATCATGTTCTGTTGCTTGGTCACAAGGCCCGCAGCGGTGACCTGTAAATACTGACACAGACACAATTTGCCTCTGTCGTTACAATCGTTAGTATTTGTTGGGTAACTTTAGGCGAGTGATGCTAACAGTTAGCCCTGTTACTGTGTGTCTCAGTCTGTCCTCCCATTCGCAGAGCTCACACTCCAGCAGCAGCAGTCTGAGTGAAACAATATTGTGTGTGCAGCTCTGTCACAACATTTTCCCCATTGTTACTAGTCAAGTTTGTGGTACAAACTGCAAGGTCTCACAGAATTCACAGGGATTTACTGAATTTGCGTTGTTTGTTGCAATTACACTGTCACAACATCCTGGAGGGACTGAGTAATCTTTGTATGAAAGCCATATCTTGGAGAGTAGTTTTATGCTGCTAACCTCCAACAAATCACATTTCACTTTGGGAAAGTTCCTCATTTCAAATCATATGTGCCACTTAAAACCACAAAAACATGTGTATATATATATATATATATATATATACGTATATCTTTCAAAAATACTAAATACTGTATCTGGGTGTTCAGGCATTTTAATTTCCAAGGGCCAAAAGTCTCTTCCTGCTGTTTGCTGGTGATGCTCTGCTTCTTTAATACCATTTAAACAAGTTTAAATTGAATAGTGATCAATAAGAGACAGCTCAGCGACCGTTAAGTCGTTCTGCTTTTACTTAATAACAATAAAGAGCTACTTAAACCTACCTCAGGAGCCATTAGGGAAGCGTTCCCTCCTCTGCTGACCCACATGCTGTTGAAGGGCAGCTGTAGATTAGAGTCACTCTCGGCCAGACAGCAGCCAAAGTCGGTAATCACTAAACGAGGGCATCCGTCTGCATCGAAGCAAAATCAAATGAGATGTTAAGACAGAACTGACGGAATTAAATCTTTGAATTGATGCCTGACTGAGTATTTCTCTGACCTGAGTCAAACTCCAACAGTATGTTGTCCGATTTGAGATCCCTGTGAGCAACACCCTGTCTGCACAGGTGGTCGACACCCTCCAGGAGCTGCAGCATCATCAGAGAGCCCTGCCTGCGGCCCAGTGTGGACATTTCCAGGTACTGTCGCAGCGTGCCGGGGTACCTGTAGCACAGGTGAAGACAGGATGTTAGTTGCTGGAACTGCTAATACGCCTGGTTGCAGTCAAAGCAGTCAGAGCGGACCTCTGCTCTTGCTCTGTTGTTGTAGACAAGCATACTTTTTGAAAACTTCTCTTGAATCGGTGTAAATACACACTCCTGGGTCCTGCAGATAGCCAATCATGAAACATAGTCTGTGTGACCCCATCTGTCAAGGTGTTGAGGCCGCAATATTGCCGTTTGCACCGCGTTGACCGTAACAGGTATGAAACAAGTGTAATTCACACCAAACATTTCCTTCTGCTCCAAGGTCACATTAAAAGCAACTGGCAAAACAAAAGGTGGCTTTTATCATGAAGCAAACACAATCTAATTGTCACCGTGTTTGGCGCCAACAGCCACTGTTCATCAAAAATGCATCTTCAAAGTAAGACAACTGTCATTTTCCTGCTGTTTTTTGACAGCAGATAGGGTTTATGTGCTGCAGGGAGAAATGGAACAAGAAAGAGTAGCCACAGTGAGTCCTCAGGAAAGAAACAAACAAAACTGTGCCCTGCTTTTTTGTGGAGAACTACTCACACAGCATGTAGCATGTAATTAGATCATGACTGCTACTGGCATGACTGACTGACGTCTTCATTAAAGCACCATGTTTGTTTGTTTGCCCTGTAAACAGATGCAAGAGCTGCTCAGTGAGAGTTTGCTAGAGTATAAAACTGCATTGCTTTTACCACAATTAACCATGGGTGTCAAAAATCAACCAGGACTAAAGGATTATTACTTTAAAGGAACACTGCTACCCTCCAATGACCATTTGTATATCAATTTGGGTGGTGGAGTGTTCATTTAAGATGAAGCCTTAGTTTTAAAACATTCGAAGAGAGTGAAAGATGGCAGGTCTTACTTCTTCATGACGAGGAAAAGAGTGCGATTGCTGCCCAGACCAGCCGGGTTGAGCCTGGCGGGCAGGACATCTGGATACTCTTCTTGGGCACCTGGTAGCAGTGGGACGTTGGCTGTGAAAGCCCGGTACACTCTGATTACATTAGGGTGCGCTGACACTCTTTTGGGCAGGACTCCAAATTGTCTGCATGAAGAGAGATCACAGCAGCTCATAAGCATCTTTCCTTCACCCTGTCCAGGACTATTAATGAACTATGAAAGCACTGAAAGTGTAACACATACCCATCCAGAGTGATCTGTTCTCTCTCTGGCTGTAAGGCCAGGGGGCCAGCAGGCACCAGCTCCTGTGACATGGACTTTAATATCGACTCACTTGACGACCCCGCCTGCAATCAAATGGCATCAAAATAAAGCTGTCAGGACAGGTGAGTGCAACAACCTAAAACTGTAGGGGTAAGTGTGGAATATCATTGAATACGCACCCCAAAGTTCCACATCATCTTGATAGCCATAGGGAAGGATCTCAGCGAGCAGCATGTCAGAGATCGAGGAGTCTCCCTCTCCTCTTCTTCCTCTCTCAGCTGCACCGGGGTGCACTCGCTGATACTCTCCTTCTGAGGGGCAAACCGAGCTGCAGCCTCGTACACAGCAGCGTTGGAGCCTTTCCCAATCTGATTCCCAATGATGTAATCCTCCAGTTTATATCCAGAGGGGAAAGGCTCGAGTGGGCTCTGGAATCTTTTCTTCCTAAACACTGCCTGCAGATTGGGAGAAATATTTTTTAAGATACCGCAAGGAAGAAGTTTCAAAAAAGATAACTAAAGCAGCTATTGTCATAATTAAGTTAAGTACTGTTATAATTAAATAGGTCAAAGCACAACAACTGGCGTTTTTAGTTTGAAGCACGTGGCTCAGCTCAGGCCAGAAGTGTTGATGTATTGCTGTGAACTTGAAGCTTCCCGTCAAAAGTTAGATGTCAGCACTTAGCGCAAAGTTAAACCGTTACAGCGACACAATTAAATGTGAGAAACAGCCCTACAGTTCATATATCAATAGTATTTGCAAGTCACACTGGTGCTCCATGGTCGCAAAATGTGGCTGAATAGTCGCAGTCTGGAGCCCTGAGCGTACAAAAAGACACATCTGCTCCATTAAACTGTTACCATGGGGCCATTAAACGTGACGATTTATTCAATGTAGGATGGAAACAAGCTAAAAGTTCCTCAGTTCATATATTTATCGTATTTGCAAGTCACATTATTATGCAGAAATGTATGTTATATACGTTAGAATTATTATTAGTTATGTGTTGACATCTAAGTTTAGTTTAGGCAGTATATTTTGGTCATTTCCCAACTTAAATAACGCAAATGCACACATGAAAAAAACAACAATAAGTCATTACCTTTAAAGCACTAACAAAACAAAGCAAGCTGTGCTGACCGAAAAAGTATAGGTTTAATCATTAGCTTATTGCACCTGCTCTTTTTACATGAATAGATTTGCACTGTTTTCCTTATATATTCTATACATATATAAGAGAGTCCTGGACAAAATTTCATAGACACACACTGGCATCATTTGATTATTAAATCCTTTTTAAATCCATTAAATGTTTTACACATTTTCAATTCTTTTGCAAAATTATTTCACAAATTAACTCCTTTGACTGAAAGATACATCTCTGTTTTGCATTTGTTCTGATACTTGTTTTTGTAAACATCAAAGTTCCTCTTAGTTCATACTGACTCTCTAATTTCGTTCTTCTGGATACAGTCTAGAGGCATCTTATTTTTTACTTTAATCATGAAATGTGCAGTTTTAAAGTCCACCAAATCTCTAAATTTCAGAGCATATGAGTCTATAAATACTTGGTTGGTTGATAGCTTTTTTTTTGCAGCATAGAAAATTGAATTTGTGGTTGCTTTGATTGTAGCAGGACTATTTCAGTGATTCAATTAGTTGATACAACACTATAATAGTTTATTTAAACTCACTTTAAGGGTAGTTCAGTTGATTTAGTTTATAAGTTGGTCATAATGTTTTGTATGTAAAGTCACAATCAGTAAGTTACTATGGTTGTCAGTTAACTGTAGTGGAGTATAAGTAGCATGACTCAAGTACACTAAAGTACATCCTTACAGTACTTATTAACAGCCGTTAATGTGTGGACACCATACCTGGATCTCCTCACATGTGGCTGCGCTCCTTCTGTCATCTTCCAGCTGTTGTTCAATGAGCCCCACACCGAGACCGAAAGCCAGAAACACGGCCCTGTTCCTCGGGGACGCTCCGGTGAACCTCCTTCTGAAGCCGGCGGACTGTAGCTGGGCTGCTAGGCCCCTCAGAGAGGTGCGGTAATACCGGTACCGAGACGGCAGGAAAGCCTGAGGCTGAACGGTGCGGACCGACGGGCCTACACGGAAACGGTCAGCTCGGAGCTTTGCTGCGACTCGGCCCCCGGATTTAAGGAGACCCAGCTGAAGGACCGACCGGCCCAGCTCGAGCCCCCGGCTGATGGCGTGTTTCACGGACATAGTTTACCTGGAAAGGTAACTTGAGCTGCTGAAGGAGTCCGCTTGTGTCGGGGAGTCCTCGACTCTCTGCGGCAAGGACAGTGTTGTGTCAACAACACAGCTGCTACTGAGCATGCGCGAGAATGACAGCCGACCTACATATCTGTGTCTGTATTTAAATATTTATTTAAATAAGTTACTGACAACGACTGATGACAGGTTTTTATTCTGGTTTTTCCTCAACATACGCTGCATGGGTCAAAGTACACGGTTTAGGTTTAGTTTACTGACTCAGCATGATATTTGCATTGTACATATACAATTTGGATAACTGTCTCTAAACTGTACAGGCCTATGGTGTCTGTGTATGTGCATGTGCATGTACAGTACAGGCCAAAAGTTTGGACACACCTTCTCATTCAATGCGTTTTCTTTATTTTCATGACTATTTACATTGTAGATTCTCACTGAAGGCATCAAAACTATGAATGAACACATGTGGAGTTATGTACTTAACAAAAAAAAGGTGAAATAACTGAAAACATGTTTTATATTCTAGTTTCTTCAAAATAGCCACCCTTTGCTCTGATTACTGCTTTGCACACTCTTGGCATTCTCTCCATGAGCTTCAAGAGGTAGTCACCTGAAATGGTTTTCCAACAGTCTTGAAGGAGTTCCCAGAGGTGTTTAGCACTTGTTGGCCCCTTTGCCTTCACTCTGCGGTCCAGCTCACCCCAAACCATCTCGATTGGGTTCAGGTCCGGTGACTGTGGAGGCCAGGTCATCTGCCGCAGCACTCCATCACTCTCCTTCTTGGTCAAATAGCCCTTACACAGCCTGGAGGTGTGTTTGGGGTCATTGTCCTGTTGAAAAATAAATGATCGTCCAACTAAACGCAAACCGGATGGGATGGCATGTCGCTGCAGGATGCTGTGGTAGCCATGCTGGTTCAGTGTGCCTTCAATTTTGAATAAATCCCCAACAGTGTCACCAGCAAAACACCCCCACACCATCACACCTCCTCCTCCATGCTTCACAGTGGGAACCAGGCATGTGGAATCCATCCGTTCACCTTTTCTGCGTCTCACAAAGACACGGCGGTTGGAACCAAAGATCTCAAATTTGGACTCATCAGACCAAAGCACAGATTTCCACTGGTCTAATGTCCATTCCTTGTGTTTCTTGGCCCAAACAAATCTCTTCTGCTTGTTGCCTTTCCTTAGCAGTGGTTTCCTAGCAGCTATTTGACCATGAAGGCCTGATTGGCGCAGTCTCCTCTTAACAGTTGTTCTAGAGATGGGTCTGCTGCTAGAACTCTGTGTGGCATTCATCTGGTCTCTGATCTGAGCTGCTGTTAACTTGCGATTTCTGAGGCTGGTGACTCGGATGAACTTATCCTCAGAAGCAGAGGTGACTCTTGGTCTTCCTTTCCTGGGTCGGTCCTCATGTGTGCCAGTTTCGTTGTAGCGCTTGATGGTTTTTGCGACTCCACTTGGGGACACATTTAAAGTTTTTGCAATTTTCCGGACTGACTGACATTCATTTCTTAAAGTAATGATGGCCACTCGTTTTTCTTTAGTTAGCTGATTGGTTCTTGCCATAATATGAATTTTAACAGTTGTCCAATAGGGCTGTCGGCTGTGTATTAACCTGACTTCTGCACAACACAACTGATGGTCCCAACCCCATTGATAAAGCAAGAAATTCCACTAATTAACCCTGATAAGGCACACCTGTGAAGTGGAAACCATTTCAGGTGACTACCTCTTGAAGCTCATCGAGAGAATGCCAAGAGTGTGCAAAGCAGTAATCAGAGCAAAGGGTGGCTATTTTGAAGAAACTAGAATATAAAACATGTTTTCAGTTATTTCACCTTTTTTTGTTAAGTACATAACTCCACATGTGTTCATTCATAGTTTTGATGCCTTCAGTGAGACTCTACAATGTAAATAGTCATGAAAATAAAGAAAACGCATTGAATGAGAAGGTGTGTCCAAACTTTTGGCCTGTACTGTATGTATGCATATATGTGTGTAAATGTATGAGTAGGTATATATGTAAAGATGTATTTGTGTGTATTTTTATATTAATAAATTATATTTGTGATAATATTTTATTGTCTTTGTATGTATAGCCTATATGTGCATGTTTATATGTAGGCTATGTGTATGCATGTATGTGTGTAGCCATATATATGTATGTATGAGATAAAGTACATGAAATAATTGATGAGAAGTTGTGAAGGGGTAAGAAATATAAGTGTATACTGCCTCCTCCCAAATCCTTTTCAAACATGTAAGATTTGTGTTGTTTATGAGAATTGTTTCATTGAATTTGTTGTCATCTGTCATCATCATTTTATTTATTGTCAGGTATTTTGACAACTGAATTTTGCATTGATATTCACTCCCTGAATGGGGAGGGGTCATTCCTATGTTCCCAAGGTTCAAGTTTCCAAGAATCCTTTGTTCCCCAGTTCCACATAAGTGCCCTCCCAGCTTCCTATGTTCCCCATCTTTTTATAGCACATAATGTCAACCTAAGAGAGATATTCCCCAGCTCTGTATTCCTTAAATGTCATGGGTTGGGTCAGGGGAGTAATATCATGACTCTGAGAGTGATGAAATTGTACTGGCACAGGTCTTTATATAATATAATTGTTCTTTCTGTTAAGAGACAGTTCCAAAATTAGTTGCAGCCAAAGAAATAAAAAAAAACTATTACAGGAATTAATTAATTGAAAATTACAGAACCAATTAAGAAATGAAGGATGAGCTAAATAAGGGATAGAATGGTGGTCTAAGGACAGGTTTAATTCCCATTTCTTAACAGGTTAAGGTTAGGAGAGAAGACCTGGGGTCCGAAACATTCACAATCTTATTTGTCAATTTTAGTCTTAGATTTTAATCTATTTATGAGTTTTTGTCTGAAAGGTCTTATGTATTGATATGCACAGTAAACCAAAGCTATTTTAGGGACAGAGAGTGACAAGAAAATGTTAGTGTGTGTTAACAGAATACTAAACTAGGGAACATATGACCCTGGGAACATAGGACCTCGGAAGCTTAGGAGGACCCTTGGGACATAGACATGCTCCGGGCAGCCCCCGTCGCTTCTTTTGAACAATTTGGCAGTGTCAATCAGTGTCAGCAGAGCCCGTGATGCATGAATGAAATCACTCTAAACATCAGTTCAGCTCAGCGCATAAGAAAAAGAAATCTGAGGAAAGTAAACAAAAAGCTTAAGTCAAGGGGGAGTACAATCAAAACAAACTTGTCAAATAAGGTAATATTATTTTCAATTAGTCATTGAGCTCTTAAGCAGAATCGTTTGGTGATAGTTTGTGTTATTGTTCACGAGCTCACAGTAAATATACTTTGTTCTTTCAACATTGGATTGTGTTATTAATGTGCTAACTGGCTAACTAGCATCAAGACAGTCTTCCCTTTCCCTTTTTGAATGACGATTACAGGCGACCGCCGTCTGCTGGTGTGGAGAGTTATTTCCTCTCACGCAAGCACAGAACATACACGCAGGTTGGCCATCAGTTTAAGTTTTTGTGAAATGTTCATGTGCAACTTTTTAGCTGAGACATGACAATGTCAGGTGACTCAGCAAGGGGCCTTTATCACTGGCTAGTTCTCTGAAGTCAGTTTGGCCCCGACACACTAACCAGACTTCAGAGATCTAGCACTGTCGCAGATTCAACATGCTGAATCGGTCAAAAAATAAGCCAGCGGGGGCCGATGACGGCATGGGATGCACCGCAGGGTGATGGACACTCACCAACAACCCAACACTGACTGACAGCCAACCAGACCTCTTTGGCCTTTTAGGGTTCACGAATAAGATATTGGATCCAGGTATCGTCATGTCATTTTTAAAACAGATGCTGCTGATTCATACCCTGGAAATCCAGAGTTCTCGCTAGAGCACAATTTAAATTTTGCTCAGTGAGTCAGTCTCCTAAATCCTAAATCCTAAGTCCTAAATCTTTCTAGACTTGGGTCTGTATTTACAGGCTAGCTGATTCAGTGTTTAAGAATGTAACTGTTGACGTCTTTGATTCTTGTAATGGTGAGATGAGGAGTCCGAGAATCATGCACAACTCTTAGGACAAGACAAGGAACTCATTTTTATTGTCACTGTGGATGGTTTATTCATTCATTCAGTGCATGTAGTAACACTAGAAAAGGACGACCAGTCAGTGTATAGACCCAGTACTTTGGTATGATGTCTCAATCTCAATCAATAACCTGGGTAAAAATGTAATGTTATTATTGATTTTAACGATGTTGCCCAGCTCTATTGATTAATGCTGCTTTAACATTTTGTTTACTACTGTTACTACTACAACTACTACTAATAAAACAATTACAATAAAAATGGGTTTATTTTTGTATCTCGTTTCTTAAAACAATGAATGAATGAAAATCAATAAACTGCAAATGTATTAACACATTCCCAAGAAACCTTAGAAATGACTGATAACCCTGGCTCCGTAGCATACCCTGACATAATGAATTACAATTAAACTTAGTGTGTAAAGTTGACAATTAGTACTAAAAAACACAAAGAAATCATTAGTAATGAAATAGGCCATTGAAAATAATGTGAATCAGCTATTTCTTTCCAAAATGAATGAATTTAGAGGCCTGTCTCTGCTGCTCTTCAAAGATCGTGGTGACTGTTCATGGTGTGTTGTTGTTTATAACCCAGTTAATCCAAGGGACGTAGTTCCTCACTTTGGTGTAGACTCCAGGGAAGTATGGGTTTGCACAGCTGATACCCCAGGACACAATTCCCTCGAAATAGCCATTGCAGATAAGAGGACCACCGGAATCTCCCTGAGGATAACCAAGACGAATTAAAGATGAACAAAATGAAATAGTTGCTGAAATAGTCCACACGCACACAGAACAATAATGAATGGGGGGATAATAATGTCAGTAATTATAACATGCACTACACAGCAATGGTAGAAGGACTCAGACCTTTTACTTAAAAAATAAGCAATACCAGAACTACATAAGTATTAGCATCAAACGCACTTAAAGGAATAGTTCACCCTAAAATCAAAAATACATATTTTTTCCTCTTACTTGTAGTGATATTTATCACTCTAGATTGTTTTGGTGTGAGTTGCTGAGTGGTGGAGATATCAGCTGTAGAGATGTCTGCCTCTCTCCAATATAATACAACTAGATGGCACTCAGTTTGTGGTGCTCAAACCCCAGAAAAAATACATTTGAAGAACTCAACAGCAATGTATCTTTCCAGAAATCATGACCTGGTTACTCAAAATAATCCACAGACCGTGTTGTGAGTGCTTTCATGTAGGAACTATTTCTTTCGAACCAACTACACCCACCAACCATATCACCAACAGAAGGAAGTTAGCATCTCCTGCTAGCTCGCCTAGCACTTCTGAGTTAGCTGACAAAACAGCTTAGCCAAGGAGGAAGCTAGTGTCAACCCATTTTTTCCCCCAGTTCGTCAAATACCAACGTTTTGACTTGCCCCTCTGCGTCTCATAGTGATGCACAAGGCAACCGTTAGCATTGAAACACATTGTAACACTTCTCAAATAAAATGGAGGTTTGTGTTGCAGAGGAAAACACCACTGAGCTAGCTAATGTTACAGCTTAGCCGAGGAGGACACCAATAATGTTTACATCTCGCACTGACTTTAGGCCTCTTGTCTAGATGCATGCTGTCCTTTTGCATGGTGATACAGCACCAAAACTAAACAACGGCAGTGTTTGCTCAGCGCTGTTTTATTTTATGTATGTGACGTGAAGGATTTTCTATCCAGAATCTATTGTAAACAAACATTATGATTCGGCCCATTTAAAGGCATATAAGATTCAAGATTACTTTAGTTGTTTTGGACATAAAGGCTAGGACAATACAACGCATTGCCATCAGTGATTTCTAACAACCTTGTAACTGAAAGACTCTGTTAGCATAAAATAACTTAAAGATGGAATTGTAATTACATTGAACTGCATCTTTTTGACTAGTCGCACTTACAATTTAGTAACATAATTATTCTAGGATTTATTTCATGACTAATATTTTCATTAATATTTTTTAAAAAATGGCAAAAAAGTGCTCCTAGGGTACCCCAGTGTACCCCCATTTGACATGATTATATTTAGTATTAATATTTTGAATCTGCAAGGTAACTAAAGCTGATAGATAAATTTAGTACATTAAAGGTGCTGCATGTAAGAATGTGGCCAAAACGGTTACTGCACTCAAATTCAAAATACTGCCGCGAGTCGTGTCCGCTCCCCCTCCCCTACAGATTCGAGGTTGCTGGACAGCGGCACGCTGGAGACTGATTTGTTTGCCCACGGGCGGTTGCTGTGGCAGGGCCATGTCACCGCGTCCGTGATCTTCGGTTTTCCAGTAGACCGTTCGAGCAAGTCCGGCTTCTCTGCTGCTAACGCTGCTGCTGGGATACAGCTGAGGAGGAGCCGGCTGCTAATGCTATGTACTGGGACACTGCTAATGCTGCTTGCCGTGTTGCTGTAGCTCAGTCATAACTGTAACTGATGCTGAGACTCTACTGACTGCGTGACTGGTAGACGGCGGTGGGTGGCGCAACAGGCCAAAACACAAATTCAAAACATAAACATGATTTGAAAACCGTAAAAATGTTTTTTAAATGCAAATATTCTGGCTGTACTATTGTTGTCGGTGAGATCAGTATGTTATATGAACATTATTCCTTAGTCTCTGTGACATATTAGGAGGATTTTACGACTATTTGCTTTAGATTTCTTACATATAGCTCCTTTAAAGTAAAAGTACAAAACATGTACCTTTTAATTGTAGTAGAGTAGAATTATAAAGCAGCATTTAATGGAATTGCTAGTGCATAGCAACTGTACTTAAGTACAGTACAATAAATGTACTTTGTTACTTTCCACCACGGCTACACAGCACATCTATAGATAAATTATACTGTACTGTTTAAAACATGCAACATGATAGTGTGCAATCCAGAGCATGTGGATAAAAAAAAAAAAAAAAAACACAAAAAAAAACCAAGGGAAATATTAAGTGTAATAAAATCATATATACAAAACACACACATCAGAATAAAAAAAAAAAAGAATCTGTACCTGGCAGGAATCTTTGCCACCATATCGAGTTCCAGCACACAGCATATTTGAAGTGATCCTCCCCCAGTAGTAATAAGTGCAGTAAGGTATTATTTTTACGTCCACAGCACGTAGCACAGGAGAGAGTTTGTAACTGTAAATCTGCGTCACACCCCAGCCGCTCACTGTGCAGACATCATAACTGAGTGGAGGAGTGTCTGCATCAGGCAAAACAGCTGGCTGGACATGGGCATTCAGCTGTGCTGGCTCACTCAGCTGTAACACAAACTAAAGTTAAGGCAATCCCATAGTTTATCCATGTAAGACCAAGAGTGAGAAGTGTATTCTTACCTTGATGAGCATGATGTCATTGTTGAATGACTTGTAGTTATAGTTATGGACAAATATCTGTGAGACATTAAAGACCTGTTCAAATCCTTCTGTTTCAAGCAGATTGTGTTCACTCAGCGTCACCTGCATAAGACTGCTCCTGAGGGCCAAAACAGACAGAAGGTGTAAAATGCCAATGTGACATCTTTGCTGTCGCAGTTCTTTCACATTCAATTATTGTCACATCTTTTCATAACATCAGTGCAAGTCACTGAAACTGTCTAGTGTCAGTACTGACGGTCTCCAGCAGTGGGCAGCAGACACCACCCATTGAGGGTGCACTAAGGTTCCTCCACAGTAGTGTTGCCCGGTCTCATACTGCAGGGATGCCTGATATTTGATGGAGTATGGCGGGACCTCCTGACCCCCAATTATCCTGGCTGTAAATGTCCCTGTAGACAGTGAGAATAGGTGTGAGTTCTTTTTGTTTGCAAAAATGTCACATTAATTTCATACTTAATGCTGTGTTGTGTCTCTGATCTTAGACAGAGGTTGGAAGCCGTCTTAACGTCGTGTCAGCAGAGACACACACACATATATTTGATATATATATATTTCATTACTTACAAATCAATAATCCACAGCAATTTTGGAAAGAGATTAACAAACTAGGACCTAAGAGAGTACAGACAATACCTATGGAGGTTATAATAAGTGATGATTTCGTCGAAACTAGGAAAGAACTGGTGCTTAAAAAATGGGAGCAAGACTTCGCTGATTTATTTTCTGGAAATCAGATTTCCTCAAATTTTGATGATAATTTCCTGAGAGAAGCATGTGCTTTAAAAGATGAACTGGAGAGAAATATGGTTCAAGATGAGTATTTGTCTAATATAATTTTGAATTCTGATATCTCTCTGGAGGAAGTGAGAGCTGCCATACATAAGTCAAAGGAGAAGAAAGCTGTAGGTGTGGAAGAAATCCCTAATGAGGTCTTAAAATCACCGTCACTTTTAAATGTCCTCTTTTGTCTGCTCCAATTTTGTTTTAATTACAGTATTGTTCCCTCAGTTTGGTATAAATCTATTATTAAGCCCATCCCAAAATCATCAAAAAATGACCTAAGGGTACCCTCAAATTACAGGGGAATCAGCCTTCTCAGTACTGTGTATAAATTATATTCTAGTATATTGAATGCTTGGCTGACCCATTATTTAGAAGCCGTAGAATATTTATTTGATGAGCAGAATGGTTTTAGAAAAAAATGAGTTTGTATTGACCATATTCACTCTGTTTCAACTATTGTTAGAACAAGACTTGCAGCTGGTAAATCAACATTTGTATGGTCCGTAGATTTCCAAAAAAGCTTTTGATTGGATTCATAGAGACCTACTCGCCCTAAAACATCTAAAAGCGGGGGTGAATGTTAGATTTTATAAAACACTTAAATCAATGTATAGTTGTCCTGTTGCCTGTATAGAGATAAATAATATGCAGACAGATTGGTTTAGTACGCCATTTGGCGTTAAACAGGGTGATATTCTTTCCCCTAATTTATTTGCTATTTATGTTAATGATTTGGCCCACAACATCAAAGAATCAAATCTGGGTATCCACATGGACAATGTAACTCTTGGAATTTTGTTGTACGCGGATGATGTTGCTCTCCTAGCTGAATCAGAGGACGATTTACAGAAAATGTTGAATCTTCTCATGACATGGTGTCACAGATGGAGATTAATAATAAATCAAAGTAAAACCCAGATTATTCATTTTAGAAAAATGAATAATCTTTTGATGAGTTTATGACGATGGAAGTGGGAATTAAGTTGTTAGCAGATTCAGCTGGGAGGGCATTAGGGTAGTTTAAGATATGTAAAACTCTTGGATATTCTACCTATTCACAACTTCATGATGCTTGTGTCTCTCCCATATTAAATTATGCTTCAGGGGTCTGGGGGTTTAAGGAATCTAAAATTGCAAATTCCATAGAGAACAGAGCCGCTCGTTGTTTCTTAGGTGTGCATAAGTTTGCTCCGATTCTGGCCGTTCAAGGTGACATGGGCTGGCTTCCTGGTTCTATAAGACGTAAGTGTGAGATGATTAGATTGTGGAATCGTTTAGTCAATATGTCAGAAGACAGGGTCAATAAGAAAGGTTTTATTTGGAGTAAATTCAACGGCTCTCCATGGGCAAAAGAAATATTTACTCTATTTCAAGAGGTGGGATTACAGTATATATATAGTAATAATTTAACTTGTTCAATATCCTCAATTAGTGAGAAGCTATTCGCTTTATTTGAGACAAAATGGTTAAATGATATTCTGTTAAAGCCCAAATTACGAACATATATCCAAATTAAGCACAATTATGGCCTCAAACCTTATGTTAAAGCAAACCTAACAAGAAATCAAAGGTCCTTAGTGGCAGAGTTGAGAACAGGAATCCTTCCCTTGAATCTTGAAGTCGGCAGATTTAAAAACATTCTAGAAGATTAAAAGTTATGTGAATTTTGTGAACTCAACGAAGTTGAAAGTGAATCACATTTTTTTTATACTATCCCTTGTATGATGAACTGAGAACTCCAATATTTACCGAAATGTCTGATGATGATAGAATGAACTGGTTATTTAATTTTAATGTCTTTAAACTTGCTAATTTTGTATGTGAAGCCTGGAAAAAGTGTCAGGATGGTTTATATGTTTAATTGCTCTACTGCCTGGTATCTGGTTTTTCATTTGCTGTCTTTTTTTTATTTTTATTTATTTTTTATTTTTTTGGTGTCTTGTAAGCCCGTTCGGGCTGGGTACTTCTGGTGCATGACACAATAATAAAAAAATCAATCAATCAATCAATCATATATAATTTTTTTGTTTTTACCCGCTTGTCAGTCAGTATTCTGTGAAAGTCCCTTTCAACATATTTCTGCATCTCAACTCTGGGATTTTATACCTTTTATTTTGCACCCAGGAATTAAAATTTTGCAAAAGGGGAACTTACTTGATACTGAGAAAGCCAAAAGCAACAGCACAGTAGAGCTTCGCAGCAGAGCCATGTTTTTGCTCATCACCTGTAATGCACACACAAGACTTTTGGCAGCTTCCATCGGCCAACACAGTATAAAATGTCCTGATAAAATCTTGTTACCTTAGTGTGAAATGAAAGAACCTTTTATCAACAGGCTGTGAACGTGTACAACTTTCTTGCCTAGTTTCTAAGTGTGCCAAGGGTCTTAGCTGAACCCTCACTGGACTATGTAAGACACCTAAAGGCATTTTGTAGATTAAACGTTTGTACAGATTTTGCTCTAAATTACTGAAGTGCCACTAAACAATGGCAAAAAGTTCATAACCTTATTCCGAAATCAATAGCTAGATCTTCTTACTGATTGCTATCAGTGTACTCGAGCACTAAACCAATATTCTAATACAGTTTTTACATATAGCCTATATTACACAAACTGAACACCATCTTACTCTGAAATCCGAGCACACACCTCAATATTAATCATAATTTCTCAATCAACTTACCTGTAAGCCCATACACAGCAACCTTTCGAGTATCTCCAACTGGTGGGACAACTGCTCTCCCTGTTTCCTTTTATACTGTAACTGTATCCTTGTCCAGATCTTTTGTTTAAATTATCTTTCTGTCTTGTTTTGTGCTGTGACCATCTCACGCTGCAACAATGAAACTGACCTACTACATGACAAAGCTAAAGTGTTCCTGTGTATTATCTCTGTTTCTGAGCTCTAGTTTTCTGCGTGCACCTTGGGATATGGAGGTATTTGGGAGGAGAACACCTCTGTGCACTCATCAGCATCACCAGGTTATGGACAGAACAAATGTTTATGACGTTGTTGATGAGATGGCATTTGCTCGGGCTAATGTGTTATGATCTGAGTTACTTGTGTGTCATGGAAAACAATAAAATAAAAACAATAATAATAAAAAGACACAGTCACAAACATAATTGCATTGTTGAGCTAAATAACCTGAAAAACTAACAGCAGTATACTTTCAGTTTTGTGTTTCAATTTATATTCTTAAAATTGTGTAATTAAAAAAGTTTCATCACAGGCATTAATACAACTTGTGATTGACTGTCATGCCACCCTCCTTCAAATACCCAGGACCAAGCACCTAACCTGGGGTGACAGTGCGTTTTCAGTCACTGCCCCCTCTCTGTGGAATTCACTACCACATGACATTAGATAAAAAATGCCCCAACATCGTCAGCATTCAAGAAGGCCCACAAAATCCACCTCTTCAGACTTGCCAACCCCAGCTAACCTACCCTCGCCCTAAATTTAATCTTCAACAAGCTCACTGTCACTTCAGCTAAGGTTAGCCAGCTAGCTGGGTGGCCAATAGGCTAACTGTAACCTCAGCTAAGGTTAGCCAGCTAGCTGGGTGGCCAATAGGCTAACTGTAACCTCAGCTAAGGTTAGCCAGTCAGCTGGATGGCCAATAGCTCACTGTGACCTTAGCTAAGGTTAACCAGCTAGGAGGTTGGCCAGTAAGCTCACTATGACCTTAGCTAAGGTTAGCCAGCTAGCTGGGTGGCCAATAAGCTCACTATTACCTTAGCTAGGGTTAGCCAGATAGCTGGGTGGCCAGTAAGGTAACTGTAACCTCAGCTAAGGTTAGCCAGCTTGCTGGGTGGCCAATAAGCTAACTGTAACCTCAGCTAAGGTTAGCCAGCTAGCTGGGTGACCAATAAGCTAACTGTAACCTCAGCTAAGGTTAATCAGCTAGCAGGTTGGCCAATAAGCTAATTGTAACCTCAGCTAAGGTTAATCAGCTAGCAGGTTGGCCAATAAGCTAATTGTAACCTCTGCTAACTTTGGCCAGCTAGCTGCGTGGCCAAAAAGCTAACTGTGAGCTAGCTAGCTAAATGTAAAGCTACGCTTCCAAGAAACCCACAGGGCTAAAGGATAAAGCCAAAGAGGGTGTGCCAAAATCTGGAGTTCGTAAATGGCCACTTGAGGCCGGGGTCTGCCCATTTTTCCGAAAGCCCATTGGTCCGACATCCCATTGTTCTGACCATATTAAACCCATTGTTCCGAAGTCCCGGTGTTCCGAAATCCTGATGCCCTGTGGTTAAGGTCTGGTTAGGTTTAGGCACAAAAACACTTGGTTAGGTTTAGGAAAAGATCATGGTGTGGGTTAAAATGAAAAAGAAAGTGACAAACACATAAGCTATGAGCCTGCTCCGTCTCAAGCCTTTCCCAGCCCACCCCGCCGGGAGTTGTTCAGCCCTGCGGAGAGCTCCCCACACAACCCGGACCCCAGAGTTAATAACAGGAGGTTATGGTGTTTCATTCGCTCCTCTCTATGACACTTGTATCTCGACCAGTAGCCTACTTTTGTTGCGGTGCTGATCCTCTATGGTACACAAATACAGTAATAATCACATATCGGAACAACGGGACGTCTGACTAATGAGAGGACGGAACAATGACAGGTCGAAACAATGCTACGGCACCCTTGAGGCCTGCCCCAGAAGTGAGTCAATCCCCATAGATCCCTACGTTAAAATGCCCAGCTTCTATAGCAACTTTTTTCCATTCATGACAGTCACACGCATATCATGCGTCATAAAGTCACACCTGTCCTGCCCATGGTCCCATCCTGCCAGCTGTCCCACTTTAACAGACTACATTTTGACACTGAGAGTACCTCCAGTGGTGGCCTAAAGGCGAGACCCCTCTGTCGGGGGTGACAGTGAAGTGGCATAATGGTGGGATGTACCCACCTTGAACAGGCAGTGTAAACGAGGGCTTTTAACTTCTACCAAAGTTATTTTCTGATCTGTACTTCTACTTAGGTATGGCTTTCAGGTACTTCATCCACCACTGCATGTCTTTTGAAATGTGTGAGAAAGTTGGAAGACCCAGAAGAACTACTATGGTTCTACTACTGCTACAAACTGTGACGTACCAAAAATCGGTCCCTAATGCTTGATCAGATTCTACACCTGCTGTAACCATGTATTGTCTGAGTTAAAACAATTTTGGTGTTTTCATAATGCATGTTATCTATATGTTTGGGGTCACAGGGTTAACAGGCTCAGTCGAGCTAACATCCAGAGCCATATCATCCATTTCTTCCTGGGGGGGACCCGAGGCATGGGAGCATGTAATCCTTCTGGTGTGCTAAGTGTCTGCCTCCTCCTCCCAGAGCGACTCTACAGGGAGGTGACAGACAGGTATCACGAGGCATTTTGATCAGATGCCTAAATCAGCTCAGCTGGGTCCTCTTACATGGAGAGGAGCAGCAATTCTTCTTCCTGAAACAGGTTGCACCACAAAAATACATTAAGGCAGAGAAAATCCTTGTTACTAAATATTAACACCCAGTGACTGGAACTGTTTTATAACTCAATGCAAATCTTAGCTGGTTAATATATGATCCATGAACTGATGATTAAAATGTCTGATATAGAATATAGCTGACCTCATAGAATTATATTGTCAAGTATGTCACTGTGGTGTAACAGAGAGGTTGTGTAACACCGAAAGACAAAACTTTTACTTCAGTACATTTTGCAGGCAGTCACATGGCCACCTGTATCAAACAATGACTTTGACCAAAGTGAGTCATAATTATTCACAAGATTATTTAGAAAGAATCTGACACTACAAGTGTTTTTTGACATTTCACAATGACTTGCGGTTTTGTGACCTGGGTTACAACATCTGAAAAGGTGAAATCATCAAATATTTAGAAGAGATAAGCTTACCTTGCAGCAACACTGCTGGGGTTTTTAGGGTCCCTTTGAATATTATCACAGACTGTCACATGACTATCCATTTGTGATATGATTTCTAAACGTTTGTTGTCTTTATACAGGCCCCCGGGAGGTGTGTTGGGCTTCGAAGCCAATCTTCGCAGTGGCAAAATAGTGTGACTGCAATTTCTGGGTTTCGTCACGTGATACCCTACGGCCCAAAAAAACGTTTTCCCATTGACCCATTGACTTACGTGGCGAAAAAGACATCTGTTACTCGGCTGATACATTTTTCTAAGCCTAACAACTCCCATGAAATGATTCATTTCACTATCAGGATTTGATCCACTCAATCCGATAACATTTCATAAGTTTGGTTTTCGGCCGACAGAAGTAAGACACTCAGGCACACTCCTGTTGCCACAAGTCTCTGGTGCGCCTGCTCTATGGGCTGCGCAGTGCCGAAGTCTTGCTGAAAATCCCCAGTTTCACCAATTTGATGTGGACACGTTTCGACTTTGACCCACATCGATTGGACAGCTTTATAGCTAAGACATTTCTTACTTTTTAATGGTGCAACCTGATTGAGTAAATCATCATAAGAACTTAGGATGGACTCATATGGATTTATGAATGCACTGCCCCAAGGCTGCAAAAATCAAAAATGCAGGTAATTTTTTAAAGTCAGCCTTCACTGTATTACATTATTATTTACCAGGATTTAACACCCACTGTTTTGAGATTAACTAGAATTATCTATTCATACATTATGGGAATTCCCCTCTGACCAGCTGAATGTATCTGTATTTCACAATAAGACCTTTTCCTAAGGAGGAAATGCATCAGGTTTGATACGGAATTCAGTGCTGAGTCATTGGTGCTGTTGTTGAAGTGATACTGGCACTGATAGGACATCAATGCCAAAGACTGTAAACCAAGATTATCTCAGGATCTACATGTGTCCTCTCCACTGAAACACTTTGTTGCAGAGTCATGAATTAGTTATTCTTTAAGTGACTTTTCCAGTTTTGTTTTTTTTCTAATGTCAGTCATTAAACTTACAACCCTCAAGTACATTTGAAATCATTCAGGATAAGCTTTGTTTGTAATTTTTGTTAGAACTTAGAGATGTAATAACATCAAATACTGCTGATCTGATAGACATTACAAGAGCTGTATGCAACATTCAAAACACTGATACAGCAGCAAACAACTACTTCAACCTGTCCTCATTAAGAAGTTGTCAAATGCTGCCACTTGGTCACTGATTTCCACTTCAGACACTGAACAAAAACAAGCATTGTATAAATTAGCCAAGCAAAAAGCGGAGATTTCTTTTGTTCATATGAAGCCAGGATAAATCCCAAAGTATAAATGCAAAGAATAAATCACACACAAGACCTAAAATGCTATTTTTGTGGAGGTGTTATTTACTTAACAATTTATTGTTTCTTATCTGTGAAATTTAAGTAAATAAAAGCTTTGTTTCCACTGAGGGAAATGGTTTCAGCTTACAGGAGGTGTGCCTCACCGCAACGTTTAGTTACATTTCTGGGGACGTGCATGTCAGTCAACACAGAGCCTACACTGTAGGAAATGCGTCAATTCGATGCACAAGTATAAATCCCACTTAAGACTTAACAGAATCGCCTTAAGTGACTTAAAAATTCATCATTATGGGTAAGGTTATGTTTTTTTCGCACATTCAATCACAGGTCTTAAACTACTTTTTAGACAAGTTTCGTTTACCTGTTATTTTCCGAAAAAGTATATATCTGAACTTGTGCTGAATACGAAAAAGTCACATGACTGAAAACAGTTCTCATAT